AGAGGGCGCAAAACAGAGAGAGAGAATAATTGGAAAGTAAATGATGTGCATGCATGTGTTTGTGCATGTACGTTCCTTCCAGTGTATGTGTGTGTAAATTAATTACAAATCAAAAGAGTAAGCTGACAAACCCAGTAACTCAGTGGCACATTGACCTTTCTAGTGAAGTGAGGCAAGACAAGAGGATGAGAAAAAGACATTGAGTGAGACTTAACTGGAGTGTGAAAGGCAAACTGAGTGACCCTTGTTCTTCAACCCCCTGAGGGGGAAGGCAATTACTTTTGAGGCAACGGCTCTCTGTGTACACATACACAAGCCAAACACATACACCATGCACAAACAGTTTGGATCCTTATTCTTGATGTGTCAGTGCTTTTACACAAAAGGTCAAATCTTGAATAAAATAAGCTTTGATATCAGTGTTGATTGTGTGCTTGCGTCACTTTGAGTGTCCACATTTGAGTGCCTCCGCCTCACAGTCTATAATGCACCCTTCCACTTTACTTCACAACCCATTTTTCTACAAGCAGACTAACATGAGGTTTGCCTGGAACAGTGCCTACTTAAAAGCGTTTGCACAGACTGCCATTTGACAAAAGATGTGAAACAATAATGGCAATGTAGTTGAATCAATGTATGATAATGCAATACTTACTCAGTAATCTCGACAGAGTGGTGAGTTCTATGAACCAGTGAATGATTTCATAATGTATTTTTGTGTTTATATCCAGATTTTAGGTTTGTGTGCAATTTTATGACTATATATACAGCATATGCACTGTGGCTCCGTATACATAATATTGCAAGTGTGTGCGTGTGTGTGTGTGTGTGTGTGCAAATGCCTGTGCCTGTATGTATTATGTAAATGTTTGTGCTTTGTTTGTGCATGCATCTCCGCATGTGAAAAATTACCCCTTTCCGCAGCCCTCTGGCCCTACCACCATGAAGGGCTGCTTGTGCTGAGCGGTGAGCCACGGAGAGAAGCAGTGCAGACCTCTCTGCATGTCCGGAGTCTCAATAACAGGTAGTGTGTGTGTATGAGAGAGCTGATCCAGTGTGAGACCCTCAGGACGCAGGAACGTGTAGGCTGCTAGATGGCCGCTGTCAGAGTCATAGTAGGTATCTAGTGGTTTTTTTATGTCTGGTGGGCTTTCCCTGGCCCAGCTCAGCAACTACAAAAGTACAAAGAAACAACAGCACACATTAGGACTGGGACACATTTCTGAGTTTTAACATTACAGAAGTTCCCCACCCACTAGGTGCATAGCCTGCTACAGTACTTTAATAATGACTCATCCTTTTTTTTTTTAGACATGACACGTGAAGAAAAATTTCAGTCCTAAAACTAAACTGTTCTTACAGTCAGCTCTCTGCCCATACAAAAAACACAGGGGTCCTCACCTCTTTGGCAAACTCCTGTCGTGTTTTAAGGTTGAGGTTTCCTCCCAAACCTCTAAGAAGACCAACAATGAACTGACCTCGCTCTGTCACAGCATTCAGGTGTGACAGACCATTGAACACTGTGCCCACCAGACTAGTCTCCACCACAAAGTCATTCTGATGAAAGAAGAATTGATTTTGGAATAAATATAGTGAAAACAAGCGACACCACATATGTAAGTGTTACATAACTAAACATACATAAATCCACTGAGCCTGCTGAAGTGATCTTTGCAAATGTATGTTATTTGTCTTATAATGTCAGCAATTAAATCCATTAAATGAACAGAGACATAGTTTCAGCATGCTTGTTTGCATTGCCAGTTGCAAAGGTTACCTGTTTGAGGACCCAGTCCAGGGCTCGCTGGAAGTAGTCTCCCAGCCAGTTTTCCAAATTACTGCAACACTCCTCTGGCTGACCCCTCAACCACGACTTCAACAAGGCACCCACATCAATGTCTTCATCACTAAAAGTGGAGGTAAAAAAAACAACAAAAACAAACAAAACAGTGAGATAAGTTAGTTGGGAAGGATGGAATTTACTAAGTAAATCAGTAAATACATAAAAGACTGTCTGCTTAGGCTGACTGACCTAAGAAAGATCATGCCCATGCGGGATATGGTGGCTGGTGAGGCACAGCTAAGGTCGTGAGTCTCAAACAGGAAGTTAACATTGGGTCCGAACTGGATGCGTTCTCCACTAGGCATGGTTAACAGCCGATTATCATCAAGCACGGAGTTCAGACTCTCAATCCACTCTGGATCAATGTCGCCATCGCACACAATCCATGAGCTCACCTCTAGAAAACACAAAAGTACATATCAGATATTGTAGATACACACCGTACCCTTTAGGCTAACTGTGTCCACCCCTTGTAGAGTGTACTGGGTGCAGACAGAGTAGTGACTTATTTGCACAATTTGAGTGCAGTCTGTTTCTTACCCTGTGGTTCTCTGACCACATTCCTGGCACTGTGTGTGAGGACACCATCGGCCCATTCTCTGGTATCCATGTCTATATGTCCCAGTAGCTGTTGTCTGGGCATGGCCTTAGGATTCATTGTGTACTGCTTCACCTGAAAATATAGAGCATTAGTCGAAGATTAAGGATGGTTTTTGTATAGACTCTCAAATAAATGCTTTTCATACTTTACATACTGACTAATATTGGAACCCAAGCCGTACACGGTGTAAATTCACAGCATTTTGAATATATTTCTACAAGTTAAATTAGATGCTATGTACAGTACAAATCGTTGAATGAAAATCCAGGTAGGCGGTTTATCTCTTACTCACCACTTTGCCTGTCTTGCTGAGGGCAGCCCTCAGCATCCTCCAGAGGGTAGACTTCCCCGCTCCACTTGGCCCTACAATGACTACTCCCATGCGTTGTCTCAGCTGTTCATTCAGCTCCAATGCCTTCTTCAGCTATGCAGAAATGGAAAAACAGTCTGAGATTACTCTATTTACCCCCATCTTTCTAAAAAAAACTATCCAACTGTTGTCTTGGTGTTAATGTTAGAGACTTTTTGCAGTACAGAGTGATCTCAACCACTGGCTGAATACCAGTTCATATGTGTATCATGACAATAATGTGTATATTCGGTTAATGGATGTCTGCATACACACCTGGCTGGGTATAAGTTCAAGCCGTGCTTCCTTGTAAACTTGTTCCAGTGCTTGCATTAGTATCTGGTCCTCTACATCAGTGAAATTAACCCCGGAGAAGACATCTTTGACCAGAGCATCAAACCGGGAGCTATCGGCAAACGTGAGTTTCGACATGGTGTTCAGTCTCAACGCCTGCACCACCAGACTACTCTCCTGAACTGCATGTAGATGAAAAAGATTGATTTAATTTCCATTTCAAATGGAAATAGGATAGGGATGTAAAAACACTTAAATAAAGATATGATTAAAACATTACATTGTTTTATACTGGTGTTCAGAAAGAGAAGCAGAGAAAGAATACAGTCTCGATGGAGAAAAACACTCATTATTTCTTTGCTCTTGCACATGCCCCCTGTGATAAAAGTGCTAATTACCAAAGCCTGTCATGATTTAAGAGTTTGTCAATACTTTTGTTCTCTTCTCCAAAGATGCTGGCCTTTCCTGCAGGCACAAATGTAGTGTTTTTTCACAGCAGGGAGGAACACTTGGCCAGACTACACACAGAGAGAAACACAAGGAAACCTTTGGGACTCATCCTCAGAATGGAGGTGCATGTAGTGTGTGTGTCTGTGTGTGTGTGTGTGTGTGTGTGCTGGACAGATAAAGGGCGGGTAGTGGAACAGAAGGATTTAAAAGAGAGAGAAGGGGAGGGATGGATCCAAGAAAAGGCAGAGGAAAATGAAGAGAGAAATGGGGGGGGGAGTATTGAAAAGCAGAGACATGAAGGGTAGATGGGGGTGAGAAACAGAGGGCGGCGAGTGGGAACAAGTGGGACGAGAGCGGCATCGACAGCCAGGTATCAGAGAGAGAGCTAACAAGAGGTCAGAAGGAGGGGAAGAAAGAGGTACTGAAGAGGTAAACAACAGAACTCTGGCAAAGTGTTTGGGAACAAGAGAATGGAGAAGGACAAAAGTACAGACAAGTGAAAAGCCCAAGGGAAGAAAAGTTTTTAAGGGGGACCATTTGGGCTAAATGTCAATTGATAGCGAGTCTGTATTAGAGGATTTAGAGGGCAAGGACAAGGTGTATAGGGAAGGTGCTGGTCAATAGAGCCTTTTGATGTTCAAGTACACTCATGCATAGTGTTTCTCAAACTGCATCTAGGAGATATACACACATAGAGACACAGATTATCAAAACATTTTGTAGTGTGACCTTGTTGGGTACAAAATAAGCATCTCCAAACCAACCGTATTTTCACAATCACCTTATCCTCTAATCCTTTCCATCAGATCTACAGCTTTCTATCTCTCAGGTCAGAAGCTTGATATCACTGCAACAGCTTTAGCACCACTCAGGGAACACTTTGACCAACTGATAAAAAAGTAAGTTTTCAGATTATTGACTTTTTGTGGAACAATTTGAACTTCATAAGCAGTAAATACAGTACAGCCAGTTACTGACTTTTCTGACTCTTAATAATGAATATTTGAATATTAGTAATTGGAAAAATCTTATGTAGATATTAAATGTTAATATGTTGATAAATTTCAATTAGCTTTTGGCTGTCTGCAGCATGTCATATTATATGACAGTGCAGTCATGACTATTCTGCCCTTGCGGTATATTTATTTCTGATCTGTTGAGCAGGCTGTCACAAGTCAGAAGAAATTAAGCATCAAACAATCAACTAACTTTAATGCCATAATTGATTCAATAATTTGGTTTCTGAACCACTGAGCAGAATTTTTTCAAGATTTGTTTATCTCATCAAGAGTTGCTAATGTTCAAATCAACAATGATTTTAGAAGTTGCCACTAAAAATACTACTTTATTATCATTGAGCTTGAGCTCTCTGAGGTGTTTTGGAACTAATTAATAAACAGATTCGATGGCTCATGACCCACATTCGGCTCTTAAATAAATTAACTATCTGAATGGTCTTCCTATTCTGATGGTGACCATTTTCTGTGGAGTTATAGTCAGCTATAGTCTTCACTGGTGGGTTAGCACATACAGACTTTAGAGCTTGTCTATAAATATTTACCATTGCTTCATGTAAAATTGTTACATGATGGACTTCAGCTTTATTACTGTATTATTTTTTCCACCTGTGAAGCATGAATGAATTCTAATTCTAGAGTATTGAAGACGTATCAAACTGACAGTGTAATTTTTAGTAGCTCTCATTATCAGTTGTCAATACTGACAGAATATACAGACTCTTAGAGAGTGACACTACAAATACATTTGGTAAACTGTGTAGAATAATTGCTCAAATTTGTATTGATTGCATGTCCTGCTGTGTCTTTTCAAAAGGATTAACTCACTGAGAACATTACAGTTCTCAGTAGAGCTAGACAGATACATTTACTAGGCCGATATATTGGAAGGATATTAGCTTACAAGCTTATATCACTATTGGCGTACATGTCGGCCGATACGTAAGAACAATTGCAGTGCAGACATGCCAAACTAGGTTGGAGGTAATTTAGAAACAGCGTCATCATTAAATAGGTTGTACACCAGTCTTGGACACATAGGGATCTGTATCAAGATTGTACATGTTGAGTTTATGTTAAAAAATCTCTATTGTTAGATATCAGACTTTTTTAATTTACAAACTCAATATCAGTATCAGCCTCAAAATCCAGTATAGGTCACGCTAAAATTTTTGATCTTACCTTCATTCTGCTTAAAAGAACAAAAATGTACCTTAGCAGCAAGTTTTTGACCAGGATCATTAAGTATGTATTCAAGGTTTCACAGTAGCTCACAGCAAATTATTTCCCTGATTAGCACAACTTCAGACAGAGAGAAGTCAGCAGTGACATAACCTCGTGGTGTGTTTGACTAGAATGAGAGCTTCCCCCTTTTCAGCCCCTGATGGCATGTCATTGTACATCCCAACATGTTGCAATGTATTTCATTCAAAAATTCCTTTTGTTGCTCGGGATTAGTCACATTTGTCATAAGCACTCTCTATTATGGTGTTTGCACCATATGTGTTGCGTTGTGCAGTTGTTCCCAAACACAACGAGTTATGGTACTGTGTACTTTTGACAGCAATGAATGTGACTCATGGCCAAAGAGGCACCGACTTTCTCCTAACTTTCCAGTCACGCTCCACTATTGGAAAAGTAAAAATGCCTCACAGAAATATTGTACCTTAAACTAAAAAAATAGCCAGAAGGGGTCTTACTCTTGTCCTTGTCATGACTCCTCCTCTGTTGCTGCAGGAGACTGCCACAGGCCTTCAGCACTGTCTTCAGAGCACGCAAACCCCAGTCATAGTGCTGCTGGGGAGTCAAAAGCTCCCTGGACACACAAACAAAAGCACATTTTCACATATACTCACACACTCTGAATTGACTGTGGTACTGCGTCTAGTGCTAATGGATGGGAGGAAGAGGATAACTTATCCACAAAATCAATATATTGCAATAGACTGTAGTGGCAGTATAGATAATTAGATATAGTTTCAAATAAATTCAACACCCACAACATGATTCAGTTTGTAACACAAAAAAACACCACCACTTAGTGAACTACACAGGCAAAAAGACCAGACTGGTGACACGGGTCACATATTTAGTAGTCTGGTGATAAGTTTACAATGTAATAAATCTCATACTCCTACTACAATGGCCCTAACCTGAATCGAAAAAAAGACTCAATTTCTACCTGGCCAGGTTGAAGATTGCAACCAGTTTGCGTCCCAGTATTTCTCCATTTTTAAAGCCTTCAGAGTATAGGATGACCTCAGCAATGAGTTCATTGTCTGGCCTGCTCATGGCTACAGGCCTGAACAACTGCTTTAGATTGTCTGGAAGCTTCTGTCTGCCTCCGTAGCCTTTTCCTGCTGGGTTCATTGTGATGAACACCCCAGAGTTTGGGTCCAATTCCACCTAGAGGATGAAGAGAACATAAAAAATATGCTTCTTATACTAGCATAGATATAGTTTGATTGATTGCTTGATGATTAATGACCTAAACTAACATTTCCATCCACAATGGAGGAATAAATAACTGATTTATGTATGTATATACAAGTTAGTGAATAAAACATGAAGATATAATAATTAAGAAAGAAGAAAGGTGGGCTCAGGAAATATTGAACAATTGTTTTTTGGCATCAATACTTAAAAACAATGTCTTTTTCTGGATCTATTCTTATATCCTGACCTCTTTCCCAAGCAAATCACATGTGTTCTTGTGATGTTTAAGGGAGTCTTGAATGGCCTGAATCTGCATGGAAACTGCAGACAACACTGCCTCCTCTAAGCGGTTAAACTCATCAAAGCAGCCCCATGCTCCACACTTCACCAAGCCCACAAAGATTCTTCCCATTGACTTCACATCGATACCCTGAAAACACACAAACAGATGCAAACCAGAAAAAGATCATTGGCAGTTGTTCTCAAACACAGTCTTTTTTTCAGAAATCATACCTAGTATGCGCATTTACTTAATTAGTTAATTGAATAGGGTGTTGTCTACAAATAATGATCACTAATATAGTAGTTTTGGCTGACTTGTTAAATTTGTCACATGCTATCTAGGAGCATCTTTATACCTCATCGCAGTTGAACACTAGCACTTGTCGTCCGAACAGCCCCCCCAGGGCCTTGACTGACTCAGTCTTGCCTGTGCCAGCGGGCCCATAGGGGTTACCCCCAAGCCCCATCTTCATGGCTTGGGTCAGAGTCAGGTAGCACTTATCAGTCAGTGGAGTGTGCACCAGCTTAGCCGCATTCCCCTGGGAGACAGAAGAGGTAGGATGGAAAAGAAAGTGAGCAATAAAGTGAGAAAGAAATGGCCCGAAACAGTGCGATGGTCAGACAGAAGTAAAGATATGGGGAATCGAGGGAAGTACAACAGAGGGGGAAAGAAGCCAGCAGAGGATAAAGGCAAACATACAGATGATGGATTAGGGAGGGAGGAATGAAAAACAAATGAAAGACAGGCAAAGAAAATGAATATGAGTTAGACTGAGTCTAGCTCGTGTTTTTTTAAATGAACTCCAGAGGGGACATAAAGCGAGCAATCCTCAGCGCTCCCCATCTATGCATAAACAGTGCCCCCAAAAGGTAAAGAATAAGAACTTCAAGTCTATTCCTGAAAGATAACTGCAACCACTGCATCTTATATATTTTTATATATTTTAGGGATTGCAGGGGCATCAGTGGAGTTTCCTGTTTACAATACCACAGTGATGTCCAGATATGCAACTATCTATAACTCAATTTTTGTTGTGCATTGGTTTAGGTAAAGCATGTACAAATATCTATGGACGCCTGATACAACATTGTATGTTACTTGTGTGATACTACAAGTGACTATGGTATGTATGTACTGTGTTTATAAATCACAATATGGCAAGCTCGACTGTAAATGCACGAGAACTTCTCATATGCATTTGTTGATGAACTGCAGTAAGAAAATATAAATTGCATGCACAGTATGCATGTGAGCCATCTACAAAGAAAAACATCATCCAATTCTGGCAATGGATTCAAAGTAAAAACATTTTTCAATTACAATAGAGGAATGGATCCAAATTAAGTGTAAAGTACATGCTAACGCACCTGGTATTCATATGTATAGCTGAACTGTGCATCCACCATATGTATGAGGCAACATTTGTCTGTTCCCATGTAGAAGCGAAGCTGCTTCTTCCAGGCCCAGGCATCAGGGCTAGTAACTCCTGCCTGGTTAAGTTGCTTCACCACGCTGATGTTGTGAATAATATCCAGGATCAATGCCTTCAGCTTCAGCTGCAGGACACTGGACTCTGTACAGGAAGACATGCATGAACATTCGGATGGCAGAATTGTTACGTTTACACAAACAGTTTTCATTATTCAACAAGGCAAAACCTATTTGGCAATTGTAATGAAAAAGACACATACGCACAGGAGTAGCTAACTGCTGTACTATAAAATATTATACAAAGTGTTGTAGAAGCTTCTTTTTTATCCTGTTGGTTCAAAGTAAAAAATGTATATGTTTTTATATCCAATTGATGGTCTCTGTAATATAATGTTCTCTGTCTCCCTTTTCTCAATTACCTTGAACAAGACACTCACTTTATTAACTAATAACTTTTGTATGTAGTGTTAAATCAGGTCCTTAGATAAAATCTGTGGATAGAGGCTTTTCTTGTAAGCTGACAGAATGGCAATCGCTTTTAAGTTGCAACTTTTGTCAGTTGTTAGAAAAATGCAAGTAAAAATGCAGAATTATCGATTGGTGAAAATAATACATGGGACCACTCACTGTGTAAACAAACCCGACATCTCAGATGAGAAGGAGATTTTGTCATACATGAATACAGCCACACTGATATTCTGAGAAGTCAATATCACCAACAAATACTGGTTTAACATAAATGACTGCACAAAATGCAGAAATATGCACTTGTAGCAATGTAGAAATTTAATTTTTACTAACGTGTCCGACAGCCCAAATTATTTAATACCCTCTATAAAAGAGAGTAGTGTCACAGCTGAGCAAAAAATGAAAAAGAAAACAGAAAAGAATATTAAGTATATTGTAAGAATAATACATTTGGTGTACTGTTTAAGTGAGACTGCATATCTTACTGTTTAGGTAATATTTAATCCTATTTTTAAATTCATATATACATAAATAATAATAAATAGAATTTCTTCTTACTGCCAAACAGCACCAACAACAGCAAAAATCCAGTCGGGCTATAGTGAGGGAGTACTTCTCATACAGACATTTTTGACTTAGATCTTTGAATCATACATATTCTCTGTGGGGTACTTTTTCTTCATACACTACATTAAATATATTAAATTATAGTGAGTCCGACTGTTATGTGCTAGGTAGGTGCTTTGAATGCCTTGTGTGTGATGTCAGCCTAGCCGCAGAGAGGCAGAAAATATTGGCAAATGTACACCATCCTGTCTTGTCTCTGTGCCAAAGGGGAGATCGCTCCCACTCCCCGCCAGGGTTTATGGCCCATTAATGTAGACTGGGTAATTAGATTATCCTTCTCGCCATTACTTTAGCTGCTTTAATCAGTACAGCTGCTACTAAGCCTCTTCAGCCTACCTAGTTTTTAAGGGAGCCAGTAATTTAATGACATGTTATCATGGAAATGAGTGCTATTTCAAGCGTGGCTGGTTGACGATTTTGAGTGCAAGACGGTCACAAAATGAACTGTATTATGTGCAAACGTAACAGCCTCCATCGGTGCTGCGCTGAAATATATGGTATCCCGCAATTATGTCAGAAAGTCAAAAATCTAGTAACTATGTGTGGGCCCTGTAATTCTGTATGCAAGTGAAACAGGCATTACTTTCATAGATACATTTTCATGACAGAGAAACGTCAGCTGCAATGTCCCGTGAAATGATGCCACTACCGGGGTTATGGGGGAGCTTTTCATCTCATGCATGAATAAGAAACCTTGATTTAAATGTAAAAGTCCTTTTTACAAATTCAAGTTCTGTGAAAAAAAACTCCATTGTCATGCTTTATGTAGCCATATATTCAGCCCCACGTCATTAGTCATTAGCCTGCCAGCCACTACATCTGCAGCTTTAAAGGGTACGGCCCCTCTGCAGCCTCTTGTGTCTGACTGGCCATCAAGAGATTCACACAAGAGCAGTCATTCGGCATTAATCTCTCAGTCCTTTGTAACAGCACAAGATTTTGATCAGAGCTCAATCATTAACAACACAAGGGGGAGTCTGATAGTGGAACAAACAGCAATTGTCAAGTAGCAACAGTTTATAAGGACAGCACAGCAATTTAGAGAGGATTGTGATCAGCCACCAAACAAAGACGGAGAAAAATAAACGCTGCCGCAGAAATGAATAGGGGTTAAAAAGCAACATCCAGAGCATCATACTGCCATGTCTAATAATGAACACTAGGCACTTTGCATATGTACTGACTATCTCAGCTTCCTCTCTCTGGATTTGCATTAGTCTCACATCAGAAGTTGTTTTATCCTCTCAATGTTGAATGACATCTCATATCCAGAGTTTAATCAAGACAGATACAGTATATGGACAAATACCTTTATGAGTGAGATAAGAGGGTTTTGTATGAACTAAACTACAAAACTAGAAATAAAGACAGGGAGACAGAGGAAGAGCTTATGGCAATCAGGACCTGTACACAACCTACACAAACACATCATTTCTTCATCCCATCCCTATTGTCACTTAACTATTTCTATTTAACATGCATGAAATGCTTCCTGGATATCAGCGCACCTGTGCATGTTAACAACGGCCTTAATTAACTTTGGCCACTGCTGGTACAAAACAAGATGACAGTCACACATCCTCGACATATTATCAGTTTATAAAGTTGCTATGGTTAACATTTTGGCAAACAAATGCCTACTTTGGTTGTGTTCAGCAAATGAAGTTGAAGAAAGATCCACAAGAGTTAAATAAGTTTCAATTTGAAAAAAAGGATAATCCTGAAGCTGTATGACTCCACTTAATGAACAGAGAACAGTGCAGAGATAAGAGTAAAAATGAAATGGGTGTAGAGGAAAGTTTCAGGATAAAAAAAGGTATTAACACTCCAGACATATAGTATGCTGCTATTTAGCTACCAGCTACAGCTAAAATCTTTAAAACCAATACATTGGCTGTTTGTAGCAAAGAATCGCTGACAGCAAAAATACCTCAGGGGTGTAAATGGGAGTGAAGGTTTGAGTTAAAAACAACCACTTTATGTTTATTTCAGCAACCTTTTTCAGGTGAACCTTCCCCCTAGCTGGTGCTAGTTGAAAATTACATTTTAACTTTAGTATTTTGTTTGTGCTGAAATGAGAGAGACTGTAGCTGAGTACTTTGTTCTGGAAGAAGTCACACCAGCCAGAAAGGATAACATACATTCACTAATGCATACACACAAACACAGACAGAACTACCTGTGTTAGCATTGTCGTCAGAGCTGGTATCCACTGTAGTGTAGTGTTCTAATTTGGCATTGAGCTCCAGCTCCAGCTGCTGCAGATTTTGCTCTTTTAGAGCTCTTTCCACATCCTCAGTAAACTGGATTTGCTCAGCCAGACACAGAATCTGTGCCAAAAATAAGAAAGTTCAGACACTTGAGTAATTAAGAAGATATTCTTACTGGCATGCTCAGTTATTTCACATCCGGGGTCACAAATTACTGACATATGTGGTCTTGGATCTCAACTTGACGAAACATTGTGCTACCACAAAGGTCATTGGGAATATTCGGAAAAAAATTGATATTCTAGATGTCTAGATATCTATCTACAAATGGACTGTATAAAAAGTGTGTGTACCTGAGATGGGTAGCGTGAGGGGTCCACCTCTCCTTTCTTCCCTGCTGACACACATTCATACAATAGGTGCTTCAGAGTCTCCTTCATTTCCACAGACAACTCACTTAGCCACACCTAGAAAGAAGTTCACACACCACCACAAACAGATACAAATTAATTAATAACAGTGTATATATATACAATATAAAATTCCCCTATGTAGTGCTCAATCCTTCATTAAAAAAATAAAAGACCAGTGTGTAAGATTCAGTGGAATCAAGTAGTGAACTGTGACCATTTGAATATATCTCAGCCACAAAAAGCTCTCTCTAGAGTTTGGTTCGTCTGCTCTGGGCCATTCTCACTACAAAAACATAGCTATGAATATTATATTAGGTTTTTGCGAATAGATCTTCCAAAATGTTGTACACTGGAGTTTTAATTCAGTATACTCATTTAATTCAGTATACTCATATTTCAAACACACTGAAAAAAACATACATGCAAGTGCCCAATCAAATGTGGTGTCCAAACAGCTTTACCTCCACAAAGCTGGAGATGCGAATGAGGTTTCTAAGTGGCACTATTTCTCCCTCCAAAGAACACATGGCGACAATGTGCTGGCACTGCTCATCAAACAGAACACTGTGGATACCTGCACAGATAATACATATGCAGATTACCTTCAATGTCTAACAAAATACATAGATGATACCAGAGGTGGGTAGTAACGAGTTACATTTACTCCGTTACATTTACTTGAGTAAGTTTTTGAAAAAAATATACTTCTAGGAGTAGTTTTAAATCACTATACTTTTTACTTTTACT